CCCCCCCGGAAGCCCCCCTCCCTCATCCATCACCACATGAAATCATAGATACCTCTTCTCCGGATCAATCCTATCCATCAACTCAATACTCTTCTCATACATCGTAAAAACAATCCCGCCACTCAAACACAACCTCACCAGCCTCGGCAACGCACCACTCCACAACGTCAACACGCCCTCATTCCTTACCACCAAACTGGCACAGTGGAAGGTATTCCGATACAGACTTCGCGCCTCGATGCTCTGCATGCGGGTCTTGACCGTATCCAGTGGCTGCGTGACATACACCGTGATGAGTCCTGCAATACCTCCGATGCCAAAGGTTGATATGGCCCCGAGTTTTTCGCCGGGTGCAGTGTAGGATTGTGCGAGTTGACGGAGGAAGGTGTAGGATCCGAAGCGGGTTGCGGAGTTGGCTGCTTGTCGGGCGGTGGTGGGGACGAAGCCTTGGAAGAAACCGCGGATACCGCGTTCGCGGGCTATGATGGGGACGGCGTGGAGGAAGCCTTTTAGACGTGGATTGGGGGACTTTTTGTCATCGATTCTGCAAATGTCTATTAGTCTTGTTCCTCTATTCTACTTCATATCTGTCTATAGAAAGAGATTGTGCTGGGCTAGACTAGGGTAATATGAAAGAAGTTTATGAAGAGAAAAGTTGTGATATAAGAGAAGAGAGAACTCACAAAGTCGTCTTAATACTCTCAAAAGGCGTAACAGCCAACAAACTCTCCGTAACCCCCGCTCCAAACCCCGCAATCACCGTCCTCGGTCCAGAGATCTTCCCATCCGCATCTTCAAGCATGGATTTATACTGATCGAAAGCGACGAATCCTAGATCAAACCACAACCCATTAGCCAATACCATCCACAAACCAATTCCTCTCCTCAATCCAACCCAATCATAAAAATCCCAAACAAAGCTTTAACAATATGAATGACAAAGAAAGGAAAAAAAAAAACATACGAATCCCCGCCTTCAAACTATTCCCAATAATCAGCGTCGTACACCCCGCATACCACGCACTCCCAAAGGGAGGCCAAGGAAGCTTCGCCGAGTCAGCCAACCGTCGATTCAACTGTGATCTCGTCTTTGCAACTATATTCCCCCATCAGCATTCCCTCCATCAACTTTCATCCATTCCCTTCCTTCCTTCCCCTCCAATCCCACCCCACCAAACACCCAACTCCATCCCCACAAGGGAAGAACCACGATATCGCATTACTTCCTCGAAGGCTCGGTAAAGAGATAAACAAGGGCAACAAGAAGGGAAAGAAAAACCTACATTCCGCCGGATACGTAATAGCTACACACCACAAACACATTAGCAAATCTTCCACTTTCCCTCATCCCAATCCCAATCCCCTCATCCCAAATCCCCTCACAAACCCCCTCCCCAACCCCCCCAGAAAAAGGAAAAAACTCACCAATCTCCACCCCCCCAGCCGTAGACCCCGCAATAACCGAACGAAGGGCACTAGGCCTTTCCTTCCTCTTTTCCTCTGCCATGGCTTCCTTCCAACCTTTCCCAGCTTTCCTTTTATTTTCCCCTTGCTTGAACCTCAGCTTCAGCTTCGTCCCTCACGTTCGTTCGTCTCCGTATTGCGTGCGTGCGGAAAAGAGGGTGCGGCGGGGTCGTGAAGTGGAAGTTTATCTACTAGGCTGAGGTTGGGTGGGTGGTGCAGAAGCTTGAAAAGGGTTTTGGTAGCCTCGCCTCGCCTCGTCCTTACGGGTGTAAAAGCGGCGTTGTGATACAATGACATGTGTTGGTGAGATACAATGACATGTGTTGGTGACTTGGCTATGGCTAGGTACCTATACGAGTACCTACCAAATAAAGGTGTCGTTCAATTCTCAAGATTCAATACGTTACCTACATACACGAGAATTGAAATTAGTAGCTCGCACATATCTCCCCTCACATAACAGATAGGAGAGGAGTATGAATATCCGGTGAATCCTCAATAAATTCAAATTCAAATAATTCAATACTAACTCACTCACTTCACCACCACACCTTAAACAAACAAACCCCAGCATTAAAATCAAAACCCCAAAAGAAAATCTTGATCACCAGCGAAGAGGGAGAGGAAGAAAAAAAGAATATTTTTATCTAATTTACAGCCCAGTTCATCCGTACAGTTGTCTGCCAATGTGCACCCCTCGCAATGCAGATGTAAAATATAAAAAAAGAGAAATAGGGAAAGGACAAGGGGAAAAAAAGAAACGAGGCCCGCGAGGAGAGAATAATTTACAGAAACCAAAGACTTCAAAAGAAAACACCAACATGATCCAGCCCATCGACGGGACATAGATGTCAAAGAAAGACCCCACCCCCAAGAATTTCCATGTACTATGTACCATTCCCCCAGAAAACTCCATGCCAGAAACACAGAAAAGCAGTGAAAAACTCTGTAAACATCGCCATACTATCCCATATTCGAGTGAGACACAAAACGAGAGAGAACCAAACGCAAAAAAAAATATCTCCGAACAGTAACAAAGGAAAGAAATGATGCATCCCAAAAAGTCATATCCCCCAGTCTACTGGTTAAAAACCATAGGGGTATTGCCCATATTAGCATTACTTGCCAACGTAACCATGCCATTGCCATAACCAGCAGGCATCGAGGCCAACGTGCCCATCTTTTCGCGGTCAATCTTTTCTTGCTCCATACGAGCACGATCTGCTTTAGTGATTCGAGGTTTGCGAGTGGTTGACCCTCCCCGAGAACCAGGTCCTGATATAGGACGACCGGTACGTTCATTGATAGCAACACCTCCAACTGCCGCTGCTGCAGTTGCAGCACCACCTCGAGCAGTTCCACCACGACCTCCTCTGCTGCCGCGTCCTCGCCCACGTTTGGGTTGGCCACCGGCTCTGTAGAAAAGGTTAATAGATAATGTAATGGGTGAGACGAAGATCACGTACCTAAGATTTTCATTTGTCTTTTCGCTGTCCTGGTTCAGCGGCCCAGAGTAAACGAAAAATCCATCCTGAGCCGCAGCAGCATGTTCCTCCCAAAGTAACTCGGAATCATCGACAAATCCATCATCTTTATCGTATTGATCTTCTTTCATTCTTCTCTTTCGCGGAATCTTCTTGGCTCCTCCATCAGTACCTGTTCGACCGTCACTCATACCACCCATCTCAACATTACTACCTTCGCCCTCCGAGTCAAGGGACATATCGTCACCACTATCCTTGCCTGAGCCATTTCGCTCAAGAGCGGCACCTGCAGCAGCGACTCTAGCAAGACGGTCACGTTGAGCGGCAAGACGCGGATGCAGGGCATCCCAGCCGTATAGCTCCTCGGCCAAGCGGGTGAAATTAATGATTTTGTTGGTTTCTCCGTTCATTGGAATATGGAGAACAACGGTCGGAGCGCGAAACTCGGTACCATCTTCGCCTCCACTACCCATTCCCATCAAACCTGAACCAGGAAGAGGTGGTGGTGCAGGAAATATCTCTTTGCTGGAATCCTTGACCTTGGGTGGTTTAGGTGATGCGCCTGCAGAGGATGTTGCGGTACTTCCATGACCCAAAGAGGCCTTCTTCGACAACGAAGGTCCATCAGATTTTCTGGAAGACATGGCTGGTTGCTTTGGTGGAGGAGCCTCAGCTGGCACCGATGGTGCTAGTCGAACCACAGTAGGCGAAGGTGGGTGGGACGAGGCGCCGTCGTTTTGATATAGACGAGCTTGAGCTTGTTGTTGGTTTAAGAATGACTGTGTCGCAATCGAGGGCGACGTCAACGCCTGATTGGGTGGGTCGACCAGACTAGAAATCGACGGAGAAGCACTTGCTCTATTCATGGACTGTGGGAGGTGTGGAGAGCCCTGGGCACCTTGACCTTGGGGGTTACTGAAGGGGTTCTGGCTCACAACTGTCTCCCGGACAGGATCGTAATTTGATCTGATAGGGTCATAATTCTGACCGCTCGTACGTCCTTGTTGTGAGTGGGCGGGTGGTTGTGGTGGTGAGTGGTGGTGGGTTTGAGGTGGATCAGCGTTGTTGAAGAAACTCGCGGTGGGGTTGGGAATAGGGTCACGTCTACCGTTTTCGGACGGATTGACGTCGCCTGCAGCTGCAGCTCCAGGGTGCATAAAAAAACTCCCGACCGGCTCACCCGGGGCCCGTGCGGCACCTACTTGGAGCTCGATGGTACCTGCAGGGTGCGAAGTCCTCTTCTTCTTTCTCTCGATTTTGGGTGCATTGGGATCTCGAGGCTTGCGCGTTCTCTTCGCCTTGGGTGCATCGGTGTTGCTGGCGGAGTTCTCTGGATTGCCGTCGCCTGCTTCCTGGCTGAGGTAGAAGCTCTTGGGCTTGCGACCGGGCTTCTTCCTCACCTTGACCGGTGGCTCAACCGAGGCAGACGCCGAGGGCGGCAGCAGCGTGCGAACATTGGGGTCGTGATGTTCAGGGGGGTTGGCATTGGAGGTGAGGGCAGCGACAGCGACGTTGTTGAGGCTATTTCGGTTGTTCATTGAGGCGGCCAGAGTATTCGGCTCCGGTGAGCTGTGTGGTGGCGACGAGAGTCCCGAAGCCGATGAAACGGATGCACGTCGAGCTTGACCAACACCAGCTTCTACCTGAGGCGCATCCGTCGACATGGCTCATCCGAGAGAAGGGAGGTGAGAACAGGCGAAGGTGAGGCGTGTCGATGCTGTGCTCCAAATCGACCTCACTCCTGCTTCACGTCTGCCAGATACAGCACTTCCGAGTGGGCCAGGCAATAGTAGAAATGGTCGTGTAGCAGCAGTATTAGCTTAGGGTTACCCTAAGTTGGGTGTAGCTGTAGCTGTACTCAGTAGCTGTAGCGGTAGCTGGGGGGTGGTGCGGCCCCTGGAACCACAAACGCCAGAGCGTCGGTCCCTTCGCAGCAACTCTGCACTGTGAATAGCGTCACGACGACGATGCTCGACCCCCAAGATTGCAGAAATCTGGCTCTAGCCGACGAACGGGGGCGGGTCTCGTCGCTTGAGGGAGATGGTGCGGTCGGGACAGATGACAGGTCTCTGGTGACGGTGGATGAGCGGCGTCTGGATGGAACTGCATGCACTCTTGATGGAAATAGGTGGTGGACGTGGTCGTTGTTGGGTGTTGGTGGTGGAAAGGTGGTTGGGAAAAAGTGCGAAGGCGTTTGAGTAAGAGAGAAATTTAATATGGCGGGTATCGGTTCTGGAACAAGCGTTGGACTCGAAGCGACGGGATATCTCTCTAAAATCCATCACTCACCTTCACCCTCACCTACAAAAAAACACGGTGCTGTGGCATTGCAGAGGCAGGGGGTGCACATGGAAGGGGGAGGGAAGGGAAGGACGGAAGGAGGGACTTACTCTACCTACAGGACAGGACAGTACGTAGGCGTTAGGCCTTAACCAGAGCTAGCTGTCTGTGTACTCGAGTACGGAGGAAGTGAGTGGAAGTGGGAGTGGGAGTAGGCAGAAGGTGGTCTGAGAAAGGCAATGGGAGTAATCTACTAATCCTACTCTAAAAAAAGTCAAAGATGGGCCAAGGTATACGAGTTGTCGAACCACAAGCTGGGGGCTGGAGATGTATCAAAGATATACACCTCTCTCTTTCCATCTCTTTACATGGTAGTTTCCCCTTTCTCATTTGATATAGTTGTCTTTCCACTCGCCAAAGCATTTCCTGTTCCTCGACTATTCAGATATTTTAGCGAATCACCTGATAACCAAAAGTCCGCTCCAACCGCTTGCTTGCTTGGTTACTCCGGGACCCTCGAAACAATGCCTTCCGAGCTTCCAATTCCCATTGGTCAACCCTGCCTCGCCATCAACACAACCCTCCAAATTAGTATCCCATTCGAAACATTAATCTTTCTTATCATCACTCATCCCTCACATCAACATCGAACGCTTCCCTTCCCACAACCATTACTCCGTACATTCAAATCCATCCAAACTTCAAACCCTATTTTATATCTCGCATCCCATCCCAAACATCCCCATCAATTACGTAGTGAACCTTCCCAATCCCTGTCCCCACTAAAAGGGGTATCGGTATGGTATCATGCCAATCCAATTCCATTTCACAAACCAAGCCAAGCTACCCATCCCCTGTCAAGACCAACATATCACCCCCACAATCCCAGCAACTCTTGGCATCAAAAAATAAAAGTGATGATAAGTAGTAGAATATGGGGCATCCATCCGCATACGGCATTTTTCACGAGAGAGAAATTCCATCATCCAATAACAACCAATAACAACCATCAAAACTCTCACATATACACACAATACACATCTACGCATCCATTCTTAATTACCTTCTATTTCGTTAACTATCAAAATCACAGATACTCATCACGATTTCCTCCCTTATCTTCTACGCTCCCAAAAATACGTGGTGCATTGTAATTGGATTCGTTTCGGGCCTTGGGGGGACGGAAACCTTTTTGATTAATAAATTAGCCTGAAGATCTTCTTCCAAATTCCAGTTGCCATTCCATGATATCATTCAAATCCCCATATTCCTCTGCTCTTTCCATAAGAAAAAAAAGGAAACTCACACAAACGATTAAAATATATTCAGATACCCCGTATGAATCGCTTTAATAAAATTAGGTATTGTATCATATTCTTCAAAAAAAAAAGGGTTCCAAGGATTAGCTACACAAAAGCTGAAACGTATAATCCCTGACCGCACTACTAATCGCACACCCGCATTGAAGATGAAAAGGTGACAGAATGTCTTTTACTGTGTCAATTGATATCAGTGTAAAAATCAATGACTCGATATTACTCCTCGTACTTGTATTCTAAGGGTTGAGGTTGATATTCTCAATGACTCGAACCTACAGTTCTTGTGGAAATATAGAGTACTTCTACCACAAGGCTACATATTTTTTTTTCTGGATGGTCTGATTATCTCTGATAATAATAAGGCAAGTAAGCCCCCTAGAAAAATATATAAATGAACAAAAGAAAAAGACATATAATTCATCGACTATTTTTGACAAGAGAAGTAAACATACATGTTCAACTCCTAGGACTGTAGGGCAGCAAAGGGAAAAGAGTATAAAATGTGACTGGCTTGGAAAATGGATATGATGCAGGTATCAGAAAAGATCTCAGTCACAAGATACTGTATCTGGGTTTCAAGGTTTCATGTCATGAAGATCTTCGGAATCTGAGAGTCAAACTTAATTAGAAACTCGTCCCCTGGACAAAAAGGTAGTAACTAATTCTGTAATCTAGTTTGGTAATAGTAATGCAGAAAGAAGAAACCACCTCCGGAAATGATCTCGCTGGACGCGGCTGACTGTGTCAAAATAAAAGGACAACTCCTCAGAAGCTCGTTCCAGAAATAAACACACATCAGACTAGCCACCTCCAACTATCCCTCCTTCCACCCAATTGAAATCAATCCCGTTTTTGTGTCTTTGCGACTAGCTCCGAGAAATTTGCTCTCCATCATCTCTCATCAATCATCTAAATTAGTGCAGGGGCAGCCTTGATTTCATCATCTTGAGCAGGTGCTTGGGCAGCTGGAACAGGAGCCGCAACTGGTGCAGCAGGAGTGGTAGTTGCTGCGTTAACATTCGTGTTGTCAATAACGTCAGCCTTCTTTGCAGGTGCTGATTGCCACTTTGGAGGTCTGGACCACTCAGGGTTGGTCCATGGTCCCTCATCGCTCATCATACACCCACCCTCGCCCGAGCACTCGCAAGATCCACCAAAAGCCTTGGGCAGATTCTCAGCTGGAATTTGTGCGAGGAGCTCTTTCTGATAGCCGGTGCCCAAAATGTGAATCTTCTCAACAGTGATAGGATCCAACCAGCCCTTGATCATACCAAAGACGCCGGAGAATCCCCATGGTGCATTGATCATGTAGAGCTTTCCAAGTCTCTCGGGATAGTAGTTTTGTGACATGTTGGAGGCCAGCTTGACATAGGAGTAAACGGAGCTGACTTTGCTAATTCCTACGCCCTTCAAGTCCATGATTGTGCAGCAAGTCTCGACAAGGTGACCAGATTTTCGGGAGCATGCTGGGAGTCTTGGATCGGCAATCTTTTCGTACTCGACAGCGAGGTTTTGCAGCATTCGGTCGGAGGTGGTAATTTTGTACATGGCAGCCAAGTCGATTTTGCCCATCTGCTCAATGTATACGGGCCGCCCATCCTATCTCCTTATCAGTACGACCTTTTGAGCCACGGGCGGTCTCTCAACATACCTTGTCCGTCTTGTGGTAATATTGTGGGTAGTACTCGAACACCTGGGGCTTCTCCTTGTAATCGAAGGTTCGGACAAGATCGTCTAAACCGCCGCCAAATTCCTTTCGCCATGTCTCGCAATCGAGGAACCTTTGCAATGTTCAGCATATATTTTTGGTAGGAAGGGTGAGTGGGGCAACGTACATCTTCTCGGAGAGGTCCACATCGAACTTCCGGGCTCTCAGAAATCGAAGCTTCACCGCCAGATTAGCAAAAGTTGAGGTTTTTTGGTAGCTAGGAAAGAGGCAGACTAACGAGAGTTAAGGTGTCGAGACGCTCAGTATATCCAGCACCCTCGAGCTTCATGCGTAATTGGGCGACTTGAGCATCTTGTTCTGCAGTTGTGTATCCAGCATGACCAGGTTGAGCTTTTTCTGAGATGTATGGGAAGTCATAATCGTCATACTTTTGGTCCAATTTGAGGGTGGGAGTTGCAGCGGCCATGGTTGAGAATTAAGGTCAAGTGGTGCTGGGAGAAGGGTGTGGTGTATTGTTGTCAATCCTGACGGAAGCTGTAAGGTTGGAGGGGACGAGGCTTAAATTCACAGGGATTCGCTTGGGGCCAGAGGCACGCGAACCAATAGGAAAGAACGTGCTAAGAACGCCAGAAATAGGGGTACGTACTGTGGAAAGTCTGTATAAATGTATTATTGTGCCATTCACATAAAATGCATCTTGTGTTTGTCCATTAGATGAAGTCCAGTATACTTTTACTACGTGTTGCGGCCACCAACATTGTTCCCCATACTGTACCCCGCGGTCACACACACAAAATATCCCGGTTTTGCGAATTCAGATATTCCTCTCTGGCACGCCTATTTTTTGTAGTTTCTAGTTGACCAAGAATTGAAATCTTCAACCATTGGGAGAACCACTCTTTCCACCTGATATTGCCTCTTCGGGCTTCTCTTTTCTTCTCATCGTAACATCCCAGTTATACACTCGTGCTGTGGCGACTTCCATTGTCTGAAATGTGTTAGTGTCCAAAATCTTGGAGAACAGACGACGCTCAAGAACTCACGGTAATTTGTTCCCGCAGGAAATCAAGATCTTCCTCGCAATTTTTCAGGTTCTGCTTAGCAGTAGCTAACCTTGTCGTGAGCAATTCTTCTGCCTCGTTGATAGGATATGAAAGCATCACATTGGCCTAGATCTTGTTAGACCCCGGTGTGCCCCAGTCTTTTGTGGTATGATATAACAAACCCCCAGCCATAAATAGACTTCATTTGTTGGTGGTATATTTGCCTTTGCGAGAAGAGTGTCGTTCAGTTCGAAGGTTGTTTCTATTGGTTCCGAACCAGGCTACCAAAGGATCAGTCCTGCTACCTTACTGAGGCAGCCCCATCTTACTTTTCTTGTCTTTAGAAATTGTACCATATCGAGTGTCTTTTGGATGTCCGGTATTTTCTCCGTGTGTCCAACTGCCGCTCGCTGTTTATTCGTTTCCATAAACTGATATTTCCTAACTCGTGTATGAGCTCGTGTTTCCCAGCTGAGACTCGAAAACGTACGAAATCATTTCCTGGAATTTCTTCAGGGTTGATTCGACATCTGCGCGGGAGGTAACATAGTCTTCAACTTTGTCGACAAACGGCGCATAAGGAATGCCTCGTGGGTTGGTTGCGGCTGTAACCTCTTTTCTAGTTGGTGCGTTTTTTTAGCTTTGAATTCGCCGCATAATACGATCAGAATTTGGAGAGACTGGCGCCTACTTGATGTCTTTTTTGTCTGCCATGTTTGGCGGGGCGACGAGTGTTTGATTCTCCCAGTTGGATATGGTAGAAATCTAGAGCACTCAAGGCTGTCAAAAAGATACCTGGCGAGCTAGCTTCTGTGGCTCGGTCCAACTGGGCTGCCTGTTCCCAGGCGCGGGGTCTTGGCATATGACAGCACTTCCCCACCTTATGTAAAGCGGCAGCTTGCAGCTAGTACTATTGCACTTCCAGGAATATTTTTAGTGATCATTCCAACGTCAGCAAATATCAAAAACGTCAATCACTGCTAGAAATTTAGGAGACACTCATATATATTATGCCGACGAAAGTAGCGTCAATAATGAGAGGATACGCGAGAGTTGGAACTGCCAGAACTCGCTTCCATCGGCTAAACCCCCTATCCCTATCGCAAGGCTAGATATCCTGATAACCTCCGGGCGGCGATCCGTCTTCCTCCAAGTCTCACAAATATCTCAACATCACACTGCATTGTCATCACCAAAGCCAGATGTAACTGCAACCAGTTGGTTACTAGTATCTGCGAAATTTTGGCCATGGAAAAAGATTCCGATCTGCTACCAGAGCTCTTCCGATTTGCGCTCAAGCCGGGCTCGGTGGAGGGTCTCGACCTCGACCATGAACGACCCTCACCGGCCCAAGAGTTGCGGCGGAAAATCGTAGAGGGAATTTTGTATAACAAGAATTTTGTGCCGACCTACCACTTCGTTATTCTGGCATTGGTCGTGTTATTCTCGGCAGCACATTTGGGCGAGAAGACAAGACGCTGGAGGAGACGAGCGATAAAGCTGCGATCCGAAGCATTACACGATGAGGATGGATTGGAGACACCAAAAGCGATATCCATAACAGGCGGGCCCTATATAAGAGACCTTCAGGACTCTTCTACTCCTTCGTCGGGAAGTAGCACGATATTGGGCACCGAGAGCCCTCCGCGAAAGGACTTGGACGATGACGAGCAAACCCCGCTTCTCTATACTGGCCACCATCTTCAGCCTCTCCATCCTCGAAGAACCATACTCTCGGGCTTCCAGGCATTTTTGATGCACCAGCCGCGACCGATGCCGTTAATACAAAAGGCTCTTCCCTCGAATGGAACGTCGCTCGCTATTATTTTCTTTCTTGGCATAAATGTGTTCTATACTTTTTGGCACATCAACTTGGAGTTTGTGCAATCTTTCGTTCTTGCCGATAGGGCTGGCTTTCTTTTTGTTTCAAATCTTCCTTATTTATATATCTTAGGAGCGAAGAACCAGCCCTTGAAATTTCTCACTGGTCGATCCTACGAGTCATTGAATCTCATACATCGTCGCCTCGGCGAAGTTCTATGTCTACAAGCACTTGTTCATGCTTTGGGCATGACTGGGGCGTGGTACTACTTCATTCGACCAACCGGGTTTCTTACAACCCTGCTTGATTTTCTGACGCTCAAGATTATTGTCTTTGGTTTAATCGCCTTTTTCTCATATGAACTTTTATATATTACATCTCTTGCAAGTTTTCGACAACGCTGGTACGAATTATTTTTGGGCTTGCATGTCGTTTTTCAGTTTCTAGCTTTGCTTTTTCTCTTTCTACATCACCCTACAGGAAGGCCATACGTTGGAGCAGCTTTGGCTATCTTCATCACTGACAGGGCCATATATCGAATCAGCCTCAAAAGCCTCACAGTCGAAGCGCAGGCCACGATCATGGAAGATGACGAGACCGTCCGACTTTCCACCACAATTATCCTGCAACCGCCTAAAACCAACCATGTGCTTATAGGCAAATCTATTGCCCACGGATGGCAAGCAACTGATCACGTTTTTATCACCATCCCTTCCCTCGCAAAGAAATACATCCTCCAGTCCCACCCATTCACAATCGCCTCCCAAGCACCTCATCCCGATGAGCAAATGGCTAAACTCGACCTCTTGATCCGTGCCAGAGACGGATTCTCAGCTGACCTCCTCATGCGAGCGCGCTCACATAAACACCTTCAAGTCCAATTAGATGGCCCATACGGTAGCTCTCACTCCCGTCATCTCCTCGAATCCTCCGATTTCCAACTCCTCGTCGCTGGAGGAAGTGGTATCGCAGTCATATGGCCTCTGGTCCAGCACCTCATCTCCCTTTCTCGCTCGTCAGATGCTGAAAACGCCCCAGCTTCACCTGTACTGCAGAAGAAAATCGTGGTTATCTGGGTGATTCACAAGGGCGAACATCTTGAGTGGGTTGGTAGACAAGCACTTGCGGATGCTGAATATCGAGGCGTACAAACTATTGTTCCAAGAGCGACAGAAGAGATTGGGCGGCCGGACTTGGCGAGCGAGATTGCAGAAGTCTTGACTGGGGCTGTGAGTAGTGGGAAGAGGATAGGCGTTGTTACTAGTGGGCCAGATAGTATGGGACGCGAAGTCAGGAATATTTGTGCGGGGATGAAAAGGAATGGGGTGGATGTTGATGTCGCCGTGGAGAAGTTTGGTTGGTAAAGAGGGGTTCTGATCTATGGGCGGTTATTTAGTCTGTTGATAGCTTGGTTTTTTGCGGGCGGGTTTCTGAAGTGAGTTTTTTGGATACCTTATTTTGTTGGAGTTTTTTGTTTTTCTTGGATGTGCAAAAATTTTTGCATGGAGGATGGTGTCGTAGTGAGTTATTTAAGTTGGCTTTTTGTGCTACTACAACCAGGAGGCTTTCTTGTTTGGATATAAGGCCTGTTTAGTTTTTGTTTATAGCTGGGGACTCTTTGAGTACAAGTATATATATATAGATAGATATTATAGGATATCTATATAACTAGGTAGCTTTTTTTGGAATTCTATTATAGCTTTGCAAGACCTGTTATATAGGTTGTGTCGTTTTACGCTTTCTCATCGGTTAAGTCCGCTTACACTACACTTGCACTTTGTGAGATTAGTAGCCCTTGTTGTTAAATATGGTAAAGGGTTTTGTTTTACGGTTGCTACTAATCTGTTTATAAAACTAAACTAGGCTAGCTTGGGGTTTTTGTTGAACATTCCCCTGTAGAGAGGGTTATGAAGATAAAAATATATTATACTAACGTAGTCCACAAGCGAGTTGGATTCCCAAGCGAAATGGATTTTTTTTCTTGGCACTCCACAAACTTATTCAGAGCGCGTTTTTTCTTAACAAACAAAATGGTTAAGCATTGGACAGAGTCTGATATGATTCTTGCGTTAAATACGCTTCGTACGAACCCACATTTAAAAGTTAAGAAGGTTGCGCGGATCTATAAAGTACCTTATACGACATTGCTTAATCGAACTCATAGAATATTATCACGACAAGATTCTATCGCTAAATCTCGAAAACTTACAGAGATTGAAGAAATAGGTATCGTACGACATATTCTCGACCTAGATTCTCGAT